TTTTGTTACTTGCAGTTACAGTTTCTCATTTTAGATTGTGCAAATTTTGCATTTGTTTTTACATGTTTCTTTGTTCATGCTCTTTAATCATTTTTCTGAGTTGGAAAGTTAGATTGCATCATAGTTTACTTTATACATATTTGTATTCTTCAGTGGTGAAGTATATTGCAAAGCAGCTCAGCCATGTGAGAAGACTTTTGGCACTTTTTCGTTTTTCGTTTTCTGAGTTGGAAAGTTAGATTGCATTCAAAATGTACAGAAATACTTAATTTTGTTAAAGCTTTTTATAAAAAATGTTTCTGACCAGAGCTTTGTTTCCTTGTCATTAATGTTGAACACCACCAGAGGGGCTCTCACCTGAAAGGTCTCTGCTTCATGTGTCCTTCAGCAGAAGATCTAGACTTTGATTGCTATATTTTCAGTTAATATTGACCTTACTGAGCTTTAGCCATATCCGCTGCCTATCATAAAAATGTTAAGTACAGTGAGCCTTTCTAAAATATACAGTAGTAATAGAGACAAACCCACCAGCATTATAGTAGCCAAATTCTTGTTTGTGGGCTGTATATATAAAATTGACTTGAAAAAGTTGCTGATTTTAGAGTACTGGCACCTTTTTCATTCCAATTCAAGCACTGGTCATATAGTACCGCCACGATCTTTTTCTCCTCCATTTTTTTACATATGGGAAATAACTGCGGTCTGGCTCTCCCAACATACACGCGGTTTGATTGGCTAGCGCTTGTAATGTCAGATTTGCATACGCGGGATTTGATTGGCTGACGCCTCCGTCGAGGCGGCAAAAATAGAACATTGCTCTACTTTTGCAGCGAGCACCGTGAGAGAAGCTACGCTTTGCTCCCACAATGCAGTTCGGCGAATCGTGACGTCACCCCATTCAAAGTGAATGGGCAGAAGCGTTGAAGCGGCAACGCACGCCGCCGTGTGTAGGCTCCGTAACTCTGACTCAGCCATGTTTATGCAGCACTGCACGTGGAGATGTGGACGCGCAAGTCGCGGTCGCGGAGATTACGTACATATAAACCTGCGGCGGAAACCCCTCTTCTCTGTCAGAGTGATTATGACTGATTTTATAAAAGTAACGAAGTAACGCGTGTCGGGGCAATGTTAGTAACTGTAGTGTGATTACTGAATTATAAACGCATTACACTACCCCGTTACCGACACAAGTAATAGTATTACAGTAACGCGTTACTTTGTAACGAGTTACACCCAACTCTGCTCACAAAACACACACAACAATGGAGGATGTGGAAGCGATCGTTTACTTGTTTCTTGGTGTACATTTTTTTATATAAAAATGCTGCAAGCTTGCTTCTAGATATATATGCGACGCTAGGGATGATCTCGCACGCGATCTTGTGACGATTCTCTCTGACCAATCAGCAGTCGAGAGTGTTGACGTCACTCGTTCAGCCCTGGCCCTGGCCTGATAGAACCACGATTTTATGGGGCCGGAAAAAGTACCCGCTAGCCGGTGCTACGCTATATGGAAAGGCCACCAAAAACTGGCCTGGCCGCTTGAGGACGATTAAGGACGCTTAAACGGGGCTACCCGCTGCAGTGGAAATGCGCCATAAATGTCCTGTCTGTTAAAAAGGCCCTTACCCAATCGTACATAGCACGACTGCTGTTTTCCACAAACTTGGCATATCTCCTTCTCTCCAGATTTTATTGAAAAGACTCAGCACCATTGTCATACTTTCCATAGGTAACTGTCTAAACATAACATAGCTGGTCTTGTCCTGGGGCTGTATACCCTGTACCTTGTAAGCAGTGGCGGACTGGCCATCGGGTCGTTCGGGACGAATGCCGATGGGCCGGTACCGAAGTGGGCCGGTCGGACGATGTGGGCCGGTCGGATAAGTCACTAGCAGCCCCCCCCCCCCCCCCCCCCCCCCCCCCCCCCGTTGACAATTTACTAGCGGTACCGAAGTGTGCCGGTTGGATAAGTCAGTAGCAGCCCCCCCACCCCCCGTTGATAATTGACTAGTGGTACCGAAGTGGGCCGGTCGAGATGCCCGGCTGATTTTTAGTCCCAGTCCGCCCCTGCTTGTAAGGCTATTTTGAGTTCTGACATTCTATATTCCACATCAAGAGCTGACCTATTATCCTGTCTCTTCTCCTTCACGTTTTCTTTCTCTGCTAGTAACTGCTGTTTTTGCTGCCTATGAATATCACTGAGATGTTCCCCACTATGTACTGCTGCAAGTGTCCTTCCTAACATATCTGCCTTCTCTTTATCTGTCACTGCTAGTCTCTCCCCATCAACCAAAGCTGGAATTGTAATGGATTTCCTTTTCCCACTCATCCGCTTAAACATGGACCATCCACACATCACCTAATTTTACTCCTCTGCCAATTGTAGAACAAAATTCTCTCCATGTTCTCTTTTTTGTATATTTTATTGTCCTTCGAGCAGCTGCCCTTTTCCTTTGATACTCTATAACAGGGGTGTCAAACTCAAGGCCCGGGGGCCAAATCCGGCCCGCGACTTCATTTTATGTGGCCCGCAAGCATGGGCGCGGGAAGGGGGGTGCTGAGGGCGCTGCAGCACCCCCTAGCGGCAGGCAGGCGGTGCGGAGCTCCCCTGTCTGAATTATTATTTGACGGTTATTGCTGCTCCCGCTGTGCATAATCTGTGTAATATGTAGCCAATACATTCCACATTGTTGGTAAAATAATATTTTGGCCTGCCCCGAATGTTTTTTCTGTAGCCCCGTACAGTTCTACCTCAATAATACAATACATTAACCGTGCTTTACTTGAACCTCATCACGACACTAGAGAGGACGGTAGGACTGTAATTTCCCGTGTTCGGTGAATGCAACAGAGGCAAGACACCAGACCAATCAGAGAGTTGCATGGAAATAAAAGTGTGCTTGTGTCATTCAAGCTCGGCTCTGTGTGTGTGTGTGTGTGTGTGTGTGTGTGTGTGTGTGTGTGTGTGTGTGTGAGTGGAAATAGCGCATTTAGTGTGTGAGAGAGAGGGAGAGAGAGAGAGAGAGAGAGAGAGAGAGAGAGAGAGAGAGAGAGAGAGAGAGAGAGAGAGAGAGAGAGAGAGTTGTTGATAAGGAGCTGTTTGTTCCACAACAAGCTGGAGGAGAGTCCTCTCATGACAGACAGAGGCTCAGGTGAGCTAAAGGACTCTCTGTGTTTAGATAGTTAACTTTAGTCTAAGTTATCTCAGTGGGTCTCAAACGGTTTGGTCACAAATTATTCAAAAGATTATTTCCGCGGCACACCTTCATATGATCATTATCGTTATAAAAAAAGAGAATAAAGGAAAAACAGTTATGAAATACTATATGGCAGTAAAACAAGAATACAGTTTGAAAGGGGAGTGATTTGTAAAATATCCATAAAGAAAAAGAACATCTGATTACAGTTGTGTTTCATATGGTGTTGAGAGATGTATCCATAGATCTCTTAAGGTTGCTCTCAAAGTGCACCAAATTGATGCTTTTAACTTCAATATTTTAAAAAAATCTTCCCGGGGGAGCATCCCCCCGGATCCCCCTAGAGGAAGTGAGGTCCGCTCCCCACTCGTAAAAAATAGCACTTTACCTCTGCCTATATGCCGTGAGCTGATTATTGAGTCTTCATTGTAACAGTCACGTGTGTATACTGTGTGTTTGCATGTGGGGAGTGTTGCAGTAGAAAATTCCACTGTAGCACCTCTGCTCGCGCTTTTGAGCGTGCTCTATAGTGCCCGTAATAGTGTTCACTGGAGTCCATGCACCTCAGCACCCCCACTCAAAATACCTTCCCGCGCCTCTGCCCGCAAGAGCTTGTAAAGAATAAAATAAGTTTATTATATGGTTACATGCTACTTTACAGTATATCTATATATGTTTATTTTAATTAATTTCTAATTTTATAGTTATTTTTATTTTTATCTTTGATTTATCCTTCATTTTATTAATCTGTGTGAATCTGTCCTGTTTTTCAATCTCACCCTGTTGCTGTTGAAGAGCGAAATAATGCATTTAGAGAATTAAAGAAAAACATGACACAAAATAATGTTATAGAGCAGGGGTGTCAAACTCAATTTCATCGTGGGCTACATTAGCATTATGGTTGCACTCAAAGGGCCGATTGTAACTATATAAATATACATATATAAATACATAATATATATGAAATAATGTATTATATTATATTATTGCCTCTGCATTGGATTTTTATTGGATAGGGTAATAACTTCATAATTAACTACGTCTGAAAGCAGAAGTCTAGGGTAAATAATTGCAAGTCTCTTCAGTGCGCATGTCACAAAATGAGATGCATTGTGGGACATGTAGTTTATGGGCAACATGCTTCTGTAAAATAGGATAAAATAAGATGGACCTTTATTAATCCCCGTGGGGAAATTCAGTTGTTTAAAGACATTAAAAGTGCATTTTACATAATAGGGAACCATTTAATGATTGTGTTGTTCAATTAAGATGACATCACATATGTCGTTTCTCGAGTCATTCTTGTTATTTGTTATTTTTCTATATTTTGACACTATATGTTTCCGTTGATAAAATTACATTTTCATCTTTTAAACTCAATGTTTTGAGGACTAGAGTCCAAGAATATTGGACCAGCTTGTATGAAATGAACACCTTTGATAAAAACAACAATGACAACATAATGGGATTGAACGTGTACAGTGAGACAAATATAAAAACACAAAGAACTATAAATACATACATCTTCTATTTAATAATAATAATACATTGTATTTCCATAGCACTTTTCTTGAGCCCAAAGACGCTTTACATTTGGGAGGGAGGGTAGACAAACAAAACAAAAACAAAGCCAAAAAGAAACCATGGGTTTTTTCATTTATGAAATTCAGTGTTGATTAAAACATAAACATCATCAGCATAAAGCAGAAACTTCACCTCAATATAGAGAGACCAGCAGCAGCACATTGATCCAACCCAACAAGATTTAATTCATAATATACATTAAATAAACCCTGATAAACACATTTGAATACTTTAACAGCTCTTATGAAATCACCACATTTTTTTAAAACAACAAAAACAAAACAATGTAATTGAACCTAAAAGTAGAAAGACCAAGAACAATCTGCACAAACATCTTTTATTGTTGTTGTGTTTATTAAATTCAAAGTTGTTTAAATCACAAATAGAACAGATACCAGTACTTTAGTAACCAACATGTCATGCAGTAATTAATACACATAATACATTTACTTAACATTTTATTTTTTAAATCAAGTCTAAACACAACAAAAAAACACTAAATATGAAAATTGGAAGGGAGGAAGAGGGTGATGTAGGAAATGGAGGAGAGAGTTTGGGGTGAAGTGAGGGGAAAGTATGGAAGAAGTAGGTAAAGTAAATAAAGGATGGAGGAAGGTGAGAGAGGGTGAGGTAGCAGGAAGTAGGTACAGTTAATGGGGAGGGACTTAATAGTGAGTTTTTTTACATCTATTATACAGATTGTGGGAAAACTGTGCAGGAGAAAACCCTGTATGGAAACGGGAAGGCAGTAAGGGGTGTGGAAGGAGGTGAGGGAAATGGAGGAGGGAAAGAGGGGAGGAAAAGGCAGCTACTGACGTCCAGCCTCCTCCATCTCCTCTTTCTCCCCCTTTGCTTTCTTACTCATCTCCTTCTCTCGCATCTTGCGTAGCATTTTCTGCAAAACGACGTCCCTTTCCTCAGTCGCCCTCCTGCGAGCGAAGAATCCTCTGCTCTTATTCTTCATGTGAAGACAGAGGTCCTCCAGAAGTGTCTTTTCGTTGTCCATCTTGTTCTCTTTAGCCTCCCAGCTCAGTCGTCCTTCTCGTCCTTCGCCTGTTTCAGTTGAGTCTCCATCAGATGAACCGCGGTCTCCCAGCTCTGGTGTTTCTGGGTCAGGTCTCTGGAGCACTTCTCCTTCTGCTCCTTCATCTCCTCTTCAAGCTGTTGGACTTTTGTCTCCCAGATCAGGTTGTTCTCATTCTCTGCCTTGTGTAATTGAGCCTGAATCTCTTTGAATTCAGTTGCCTGGCTCTGAAGTCTCTGAGCCAGGTCTTCCTTCTCCTGAGTGACCTCTTTTATTTCGGTCTCCAGCAAACTGGCCTTGGTTTCCCAGCTCTGGTGTTTTTCGGCCAGGTCTTCTGATAACTTTTGCTCCGGCTCTCTCATCTGGTCTTTAAGCTGCTTGACATCCGTCTCCCAGCTTTTTTTTATCTGGACCAAATGATTTTTCTGCTTCTGCACCTGTTTGCATTTAGCCTCCACCTGTTTTAACTGAGTCTCCCAGCTCTGGTGTTTTTCGGCCAAATCTTCAGAGAACTTTTTCTCCTGCTCATCCAAGTCGTTCTCCAGCTGCTGGACTTTCATGTCCTTCTGTTTGACATTGCTCTGGTTTTCCTTGACCAGGTTCCTCATGGTTTCCTTGGCCTCTTCTAATTTTGCCTGAACCACTTTCAATTCATTCCCTCCGATCAGGTTTTTGTGAACCATGTTGTCACTTTTCTTCTCTTCCTCTTGTAATATGATCTCCATCAAATGAACCTTGGTTTCGCAGCTCAGGTGTTCTTCAGCCAGGTCTTTGGAGAACTTTTCCTCCTTCTCTCTCATCTGGTCTTTCAGCTGTTTGACATCCGTCTCCCAGCTTTTGTTGTTCTTTGCTAGATTATCGTTCTCCTCCTCCACCTGTGTTAATTTGGCCTCCACCTGTTTGAGCTCAGTCTCACAGCTCAGGTTCTTCTTTGCCAGGTCGTCCTTTTCCTGAGAGACCTCTTTTAGTTTGGCCTCCATCGGTTGTTGGTCTTCAGAGATCTTTTCTCCCTGCTTTTTCAACTGAAGCACCAACTTTTAGACTTCCTTCTCCAAGGTTTGGATTCTAAAGGTCTGCTGACTGTTGTGCTTCATCACCCCTTTAACTTTCCATTCCATCTTTTGTTTTTCGCTCTCCAAGGTGTGGTTTCTAGCAGCCTGGTAGTTTTTCTTGTCCACTACATACTTCATGCCTTGTTTCTCACTCTCCCAGCTCTGTTGTTTCTCAGCCAGGTCCTTGGTGGACTTCTCCTGGCTTTGAAGGAGTTGTTCCTCTCTTCTCTTCAGCAGGTTTATGGTCACCAGGTTCTCGTCCAGCTGCTGCTTGTGTTGAGCCTCTTTAGTTTCCATCTCCTCCTCCAGAGCGCTGTATCTTTCCTCCCAGACTGTCACACACTGAAATAGTTCATCTCCTCTCATCACGAGAAGTTTGACGGTCTCTGCGTCAAACTGCAGGAGACTCTCATCGTTCTGGCTGTCGTATGTCTCCTTGTTGCTCTGGTCTGACTTTGTTCTATCCATGGCACTGTCTGTGGACTTTTGTTGTGCGTAGGAATACAAATGTGATTTCACACACTACAACTACAATTCCCAGCATGCTTAGTGGCAAGAAACTACAAACGTAAAACTGATTTCATAGTTAACATGCAATTGATTTGTCCCACTTATGCCTGGATATTTTAGATATTTAATAATGGATCAATAATTTATTTATTAATGATGCCATAACCATTAGTTACAAACTCTTTATAAAAGCTTAATCAGTAGAAAATGGTGCTATCTACTGCTGAAACTGCAGAAACTGTGCTCCAGAAATAAGAAATACTGTGTAAAGCTAGTTGTGTAGTCAAATATATTGCAGGTTTGCACTTGCCCTGTAGTAAACTTTAAACGCAAGTGCAAAAATAAAATAAACTAACCCTACAGACATCTGGTAAACTTTTCTTCCTTGCAGCAGTATACTGTTTGCACAATGCAGTCCATTACAGACAGAGTCTGACACGTTGTGGACAGAAAATGTAATTACACAAGCACAGAACTACCTCAAAACTCACCATGACGTAGAAATACCGGTACCACTTCACAATAAGACTACCCTTATAAAGGATTCATAAAGGGTTTATAATTAGGTTATTAATTAGGTTGTAAACACTTTATTAATCATTAAGAACCATTTATAAACCAAACATAGTTTTCATACATCAACACAGGCTCACTATTTGGCAAGCTGACTAAGCCTTATATTGGCTACTTAGTGAGAATCAACTCAGTGAGCAACAGATACCAAGGATGCTGGATGATGAAGAAGACAAAGTAAGATAGGCAGCCAATATAAGGCTTAGTCATCTTGCCAAATAGTGAGCCCAAATGTATCTGTACTGCTAAGTCTTATATTGGCTACTTAGCTTACTTCGTCTTCTTCATCAGCCAGCATCCTTGGTATCTGTTGTTCACTGAGTTGATTCCCCCCCCCTTCCATCTTGATGTTTTGTTGGCATCTCTTTATGACCATTTATTTATGAGTTACTAACATTTATAACTGCCAAAAGGGAGCCTTGTTGTAAAGTGTAAAACACATTCCCATGTATTAATGAGTTACTACCATTTAATAAGGCTTAGCAGTAGAGATAAATGTGGGCTCACTATTTGGCAAGCAACCGGTCACAGTTGCCCTGTTTATCTCATGTCTTATAAAAGCTTATTCATGATTTATAAAGTGTTCACACCCTAATTAATAAATGAATTACAAACTATTCGTAAACCCTTTATAGTCTTATTGTAAAGTGGTACCGAAATACCTTATACGTTATTTTAAAATTGATCACCACACAACATACATAGAAATAATGCATAACTCCTGTTGCTATTTCACAAGCTGCATCATGGCAACAACATTACAATAGTGTGTCCTGTGTTCTGCATGCCAGCCTTTGTTTCAGTATCACAGTATTATGTGATTCCTCATCACCTGGCCATGTGGTACAGTAGTGACTGATGATATTTAAAATATTTTTGATAAAGTAGGCAGTATGTGAAGCTTTTTGTGTTCTTAGGAAATAGATCATTCAGGTGTGGCATCTATTAGATAGATTTAAATGTAATACAAATTGATTTGTTATGTCATTCAGTCGTTCTGATTTCACAATATCTGATATCTTTAATAACGAGGCATTGTTAGCAAAAATAAAATCATAGCCCTTCATTCCTCTAGAGGGGATAAAGGAAGTAGAAATGCTCCAGTGATTAGACCGATCCTTTTCCATTTGCAGTTAGTTCCCCCTGGATTTTATTCTGCAGTAACGGATCATGGCAACAGCCATGACACATATCTGAGGAGATTAAATATATGAGTTAAACACACACATAAAAGTTAAAAGAAAGCTATAAGCTAAGCTATAAGAAATGCGTTCGTAATATCTGATCATTAGAGGGCGTATTGAGGTCTTTGCAAGTTTAAAATATGAATAATATTGGAGCAGGAGAGGGGCTACATTTATAAAAATAAAATAAAAAATGTTTTAAAACTGAACAACAATTATTGGAAAACCACTGTTTTTTGTTAGTTTTTCAAGGAACTTCATTGCCTCAAATTGCAAAGTACATCACCTTGATGTATATAATGCCCGCAGTGGATGATGTATTTAAATTAAACTTTGCAATAAATGGGGAAACACACACCAGAATTGCCATAAGCATCTAGGCAGGAAATGTTTTTTTTTTCAAAAGAAAACATAATGCTAATTTAGTTTAGGTGATATTTTAAGTTTAATCAGAAACACAATGGAAAAATGCACATATGCACATTTCCATTCTGTTGCATCCCTTCGCAAACGTGTGGCTTTCCTTGTTCACAATTTGATTTATTAACAACATTTTTCGCTATTTTTGTTTTATTTTAAAAATTGACGAATAATTTCTAAAACATTTCTTGCAAAAGTATGACTTTATGATATAATCACAGACAATATTCAAGTTGTTTTCTTATGTAAATGTACCGCTTTCATCTCAAAGAAAAGCCAAGGTTTTCCTCTTTTGAAGTTGTATTCTTTACCTACGATGGCACTCATATGCCATCACAGATACAAGACAAGTAAGTATAATTAAGAAGAATATGAATAAAGGGTAGGATAAAACGTAATAAATTAAAAACCGGTTTTGGATCATTCACATAGATCAGGGGTGTCCAAACTATTTTCACCGAGGGCCACATACAGAAAAATATACGAAGGGCTGGGCCACTCACAGGATGTTTATTGCCTTATCAGTTAAGTTATAAGTTAGCAAAATCATTAAAATGTAGGTCAATTATGTTTGATACTTGAAAATGCTTTACAGCCTACATCCCAGTTCTCCATAGGGTTTCATTTATTATGTTAGCAGCTCATTCCTTAAAACAGAAGCTCAGATTGCTTATAAAAAGAGGAAATATGAAGGCTATATTTCAAGCTTGTTATGTAATTAAGTTATTGGGCTTTTTTTGGTTGTAAACTATGATTTGTTTAAAAATGTTTCCAACTTTAATTTAATAAATGTATTTGAAAAATGGGCGTATTAACACATGAATACTGTCTAATCTTTTTTTTTGTCTTTTAATGTTTATTTTATTATCTTGATGTTTTTAAATGCCATTTTCTTAATGTCTTTCATTTTTGTACAGCACTTTGAATTGCCTTGTGTTGAAAGGTGCTATACAAATAAACTTGTCTTGCCATGCCTAATATATTTTACATATGCATTTTTAGAAGTACAATATATGACAAGCACAAGTTTCATTTGTGGGCCATATTTCATTATACTTTTTGAATTAGCTGAGCGCCGTATTTGTAGTTTGGACACCCCTGACTATATGTTCTCGTTGTTCTTCTAAAGCACATACCGTGTCACTGTCTGCTCCGTTTGGTTACACGGACTAACAAGGCCTGGACAACACTGAGGGGAAAAGCTGGCCATAATCGTTATAAAACGGAGAGCCCACGAAGTCTGAGGAGTTGTAGAATCCACAACATTGGGAAGTAAGTAGATTTACTTAAAAACGATACAGTACAATTTTGAGATACGTGTAGGCCTACTTTAATTGAGTTATTGTAATTTTATTATTATTATTATTATATTATACTACGTATTATTTTTCCATGTAACTGATTACAATTACATTACAATTTTAATATAATACCCCAACTCTTTTACATGTAACTAGTTCAAGGTTCAAGGCTTTTATTTGTCATACGTACATAGCTACAGTGTAGTTATGTCGATGAAAATCTTAGGTCACAGGCTCCTCCAACAGTGCAACACAATAAAACAGAAACACAGAAAAAATAGTGTAAGTAAATAAAATAAAATAAACGGTAACTAACTAACTCCCCCAGTCCTGCACATTCACCAAATTAAAACAACCTGTACAATATAAGAATACTTAGAAGGAAAGTGGATGAACTGCCTCTTATAGTAAAAGGCATACTTGGTGATTTGTACTTTTTGTCACTGAAAAAAGAGAGTTCTGGCTAGCCATCAAATTTCAATTACGACACTAAGATTTAATTTAAAGTCTTGGATTAGGGAATTCACCATGTCATTACAAAACAGAACACAGAGAAGTGACTGTATGCCAGCAGTCAGTTGCAGAACTCTTCCCCACCCTGCATATTAAGATGCCTTTCAGGCTGGCCATATCGGCATGTGCTCAAAACTCTAAAACAGGGGTGCCACCTAAAGATTAATATGGATGTCACAGCTTTTACCATTTGTCTGCTGTGACATGGCAGTGACCTAATTAAATGGCTTCTAACATGAACAGGACATTTTTATAGCAAAACAGGCACTACCAAGGGATTAAATATATTGATTTATCGTTTTTAATAGTTAGGATTTAGCTAAAAGAAATTACACCCATTATGTCAACGTCAGCATGAAGAATTGACAGCTCATTAAGATTTTTTCTTTGAGGCGAAAAGGAGGACTTTCTGTCTCTTCCTATGTTTTTTCAGATCGTTCAGAAGCTCAGAGAGGTAGTCATGCCCGATGCCACAAATATCTGTCAGGCTAAATAGGCTA